CCTCAGAGAGGCTTTCTGTGATCTCAGCTAAAGTGGTACTATCCTGTCCTCCACCAGTTGGGGCAGGGGAAGCCTGTCAGTTTTATTATTTTTTTTTTCCCATACTTTAATTGGCTTATATATTCACGTATATAATTGGCTTATATATTCATGAATTTGTTTACTTGTTTAAATTTCTCTCTCATTTTACTTTCTATACATTAAAGAAAAAAGTGTTATTGCATACTTGTCTCCACCATCTAGAAGGTAATCCCCATGAGGGTAGGGAGCTTGTCTGTCGTGTCACTGCTCTGTCCTTGGGGTTGAACAGAATGCAGGTGGTGGATGTAGAGATGCGCTGCCCAGGCCCCCTTCAGTGGAGGGCATGCTGCCCCACCTCCTAGGAGTGCTGCCAGAAGGTGACCCTCAGTGGTCAGCCACTTCCCAGATTGCCTCTGCTGCAGAGAGCTGTCTTGCCCAACATCACACCCCTTCCTGGGGTGAATCACTGACAGACGGAGCATATAAAGGCCCAGCCATCTCAGCCCAACGTAGGCCAACTTGGACAGACCATTCTAGCTCCACAGATTCCTGTGGGGCTGACTGAGGCTGTCACTAGGCCTGTATCATAGTTTGCTTTCTCCCTCTGCCCACTCCTTCTTCCTCCCCCTTCCTTCCACAGGTGCTGATCCCAAGGTTACTCCTTAATAAACATCCTGCCCCCTAAAGTCCATCTCAGAGTCAGCTTCCTGGACAAGTCAGCCTGTGACAGCTGGACTTGAGGAAGACAGGCATGCTGGGAGAATAAGGTGTCTGGAGCCACCCAAGGGGACACCCATCTCAGAAGACATGTAGAGCCTCCCTGCAGTAAGAAGCGTTCTTTCTATGACAAGTCACAGATTGGCTCCTGTTCCATTGGCAGGTACTTAGCAGGGTTCCCTTTGCTTTTGGCAAATGCATAAGAGGAAAAGTGAACCCTCATGATGGAGAGAAGTATTTACTCCTTGAGGACTGGGCCGTGAATGTAGATTCTCACATGACAGAGCTAGAAGCATCTGGAGGTTAACCACACTTCTTAAGTGTTTCTGCCAAAGTAACTCAAAGGGAGAGGAAGATAAGCTTAGAACCCCAGTCCAGGAAGATGGGCTGTGTTTACTCAGTGACATCTAGTACACTAGAAGGATATATGGACCCCAGTTGAGAAATTCAGATCTGGAAGAGAAATCCAAAGCCAAGGCCTAGAGCTCCACATGGCTGGGGTCTGACTGAAGTCAGGGCTCAGTCTGAGGCTGGATCAAGGTTCTGTGTGGGGTCAGAACTCAGTCTGGGATCAGTGTTCTGTTTGGGGTCAGGCCTCAGTCTGGGGTCAAGGCTTCATCTGAGGTCCAGATCAAGGCTCAGTTTGGGACTTAAGAGCACAGTCTAAGGTTGGGATTAGGGCTCATTCTGGAGTAAAGGCTCAGTTTAGGTTGGGATCTGAGATTAGTCTGGGGTTAGGTTGTCTCGGGCTGGATCACTGCTCAGTATGGGGTCAGATCTTGGTCTAGGGCCAGGGTTAAGTCAGGATTCAGCTGAGATAGGAGCCAGGACTTAGTCTGAGGCCAGTATTTACAGCTTAGTTTATCATCAGGGTCATGACCCAGTCTGACCAGTTGTGGCTCCAAATCATAGCACTGCTTAGGGTCAGGGGCTCAAGGTGGAAACTTTGTTCCAGTTTCGGTGTGGGCCCTGCACAGGCTTAGGGCTTGGCCTTTGCCTAGGTTTGGACTTGATCCTAGGCTGGGGGTTAGAGGGACAGTCTGATATCAGGGCTCAGTCCTGCAACAAACAGCTGAGTCAACACATTATTCTACAGCAGGGTCAACAAACCACAACCTGTGGACCAAATCTGGTCTGCTGCCTGTTTTTTTTTAAATATTTTATTGTACTTCAGGTGAAGGCTTACAGAACAGATAGTTTCTCATGTACCAGTAACACACATGCTGTTTTATGACATTGGTTTCTGCTGCCTGTTTTTGTAAATAAAGTTTCATTGCTATATGTTGTTGCTGTGTGCCGCTGAGTCGATTCCAACTCATAGCGACCCTATATGACAAAGCAGAACTGCCCCATAGGGTTTCCTAGGCTGTAATCTCTTTTTTTAAAAAAAAAAAAATTGTGCTTTGGATGAAGGTTTACAGAGCAAATTAGTTCCTCATTAAACAATTAATACACATATTGTTTTGTGACATTGGTTGCCAACCCCACGATGTATCAACACTCTCCCTTTCTTAACCTTGGGTTCCCCATTATCAGCTTGCCTGTCTCCTCCTGCCTCCTCGTCCTTGCCCCTGGGCTGGTGTGCCCATTTAGTCTTGTTTTGTTTTATGGGCCTGTCTAATCTTTGGCTGAAGGGTAAACCCTGGGAGTGACTTCAGTACTGAGTTAACAGGGTGTCCAGGCACCATGCTCTGGGGGTTTCTCCAGTCTCTGTCAGACCAGTAAGTCTGTTCTCCTAGGCTGTAATCTTTATGGGAGCAAATTGCTAGGTCTTTTCTCCTGTAGGGCAGCTGGTGGATTCAAACCACTGACCTTTCAGTTAGCAGCCAAGTGCTTAACCATCGCTCCACAAGGGCTCCTTATTGTAATATACCAAAAAAACAAAAAACAAAAAACAAAAAACTCACTGCTGTTGAGTCGATTCTGACTTGTAGTGACCCCATAGGTTTCCAAGGCTATAAATCTCTACGGAGGCATACTGCCACATCTTTCTCCCGCAGAGCTGCTGGTGGTTCGAACCATCGACCTTCTGGTTAACCACTGCGCCACCAGGGTTCCTTACTGATATATGGCTGTGTTCATTTCTTATATTAGCCATCGCTGCTTTCATGTTATAACAGCAGACTTGAGTAGGTGCAACAGAAATTGTATGGTGCACAAAGCCTAAAATATTTAGTCTCTGATCCCTTACAGAAAAAGTTTGCCAATCCCTGTTCAAAAGGCTTGGAGGGCCTTCTGGGGCCTGAAAGCCCAGACCTTGACCTGACTCTGTATCAATAATCGCCAATAAGGTTCAGATGGAGTTGAAGAGACAAGGGGAATCCAAATGGAAGTAGTAGGAGGCCAAGCCTCAAGTTAAGGCCTGTTGCTAGCATCCTTCTGGGTTCCCCATGCCAGCCAACTCTAAGAGTTTTCTTGGTCCTGGACTCCCCTGTTCTGCCCTTCCTCTGTTAAGGGCATTGTCAAGGTGTTGCTCTATCAACTGAAAGGTAATCCTTACCTGCACATTTTTCTTGGCAGTTTCCAAAATCGCATTACCCTCCACACTTTGGGCTCCTGAACTGTTTTCTCTCAATGTCCTCACCTCTTCCATCCCCAGCCAGGGCTCGCTCATTTGCTGCTGAGGTGGCCTCTGCTTTCAGCTGGGGCTGGAATAACCTGTGAAGCCAGTTTTGTCCCATTAAAGTTCTACCTCAACTCAACCGAGAGGATCGAACACGGGGGAGTTGAATGGAAACAGCTACCCAGCAGGTGTCCCTCATCCGTTCAGCTCTCCACCACCCACAATACATACCTAAACAAGGGCCTTCTCCTCAAGGTCCCTGCACAACCTTGAGGAAATGACTACCTGCCCAGTCCCTCCAGCTGCCCCTCTTATATGGGGTCAGCTGAGGCAATCTAAGGCCCTGACTCGTGGAATGCACCTGGATCCTCCAAGTCCACCCCCACGTTGTGTGAGTCAGTAGAGAGATGCCTCACTGAGGTGCTGGTGGATGGTAGTCCCTCAGCCTTGGACACAGGATTCTCCACCAAACACTGTGTGTTTATCAAAAAAACCAGTTGCTGTTGAGTTGACTCCAACTCATGGCAACCCCATGTGTGTCAGAGTAGAACTGAGCTCCACAGCATTTTTAATGGCTGATTTTTTGGAAGTAAGATCACCAGACCATTCTTCTGAGGGGCCTCTGGGTGGACTTGAACTTCCAACCTTCAGTCAGCAGCTGATCACGTTAACTGTGTGCACCACCTAGGGATTCCCATGTGTTTACTGACCCCCCTTTTGCAAAGATGACCTCATGTCCGGGTGTCTCTGCAGATGAGCCTACTTTGTTGCCGTTCATATTATTTAAATTATACAGCTAATTATAATTCCTTTGGCTGCCTAGAAAAGTTCAGAGCTGAATTCTAAGTTCAGTGCAGTTATCTTCGGGGCTTGTGGTCTATATTTTGGTCCTTGTCCCAGAGGTCTTTGTCCCGTTTTGACACTAAGTGTGTGATTGTGCTGTTGAGTATGTTTTGCAAAGTCAGCACCATAAAGGTTCCAAATAAATAAACAAACACTGGGTGTAGCTGGGCTGGCCGTATGAGATCCCTGATCACCAGAACTAGATCAGATTTGGGGCTGCAGATTCTGGGGGAATGTAATCCAGGTCTGGTGGCCCCTTGTTTATCTTCTTCAGCTTCTTTCAGTCAGCAACAGTCCCTCAGGCCCTGGGCCTGTGTCTTCATTTGGGAAATCTCCCATTTCTTCGAATCTAATGATTTGCAGGAACATGACTTTAGGGTAAAACTTACATGGAGTAAACAGCCCCAATTCAGCCTCTAGCTTGCTGTGTGGCCTTGGACAAGGCTCCCTCTGTTTCGTAAAATGGGAATGGTGAGGGGTGTTTAGGTTTCAGCTCTAACAAGCTGGGGTTCTCTGTCAGGGTTGGGGAGAGGCTTTTTGGGTCTGGATGTGGTCAGGGAATTTGAAGAGCTTAGAGAGAAGCAAGGAGAGCCTAGGTGGTCGGCCAGGGTAACGGTGAGCTGGCTGAGTTGGAGCAGCCAGAGCCCGGTGAGTCGGGGCACAGTGATGCTCGGTCTGTCAGCCTCCCAGCAACAAGAATGAAGAGATGAAGGTGGTAGAGGCTCCCCAAGTAGTTACATCATCCATAGTTGACAGAAAGTCTTAAGGATTACTGAGTCCAAAACCTCATTTTACAGATGGGAAAACTGAGGCCCAGGTGGGCAAGGGACTTGCCCAAGTTCACAAAGTAAGGCAGAGGCTGAAGCAGGAGTAGAACCCAAGCTTCCCGGCTGCCACATGGGAGGCGCAAAGGTGGGGAGGAGTAGACACAGGCCATCTCCTCTCCTGACAGCCCCTCCTGGCCCATCACTTAGCGGCGGCCACATGGATGATCACAAAGTCCTTGATATCTGGGAAGCGGGAGCTGACAAGGCCCACCTGCAGCTGCCTTGGGCCACTCCTAGAGGGGGTGATGCTGAACTGGACCGAGGCCCTCTCCTGAGGCTCCAGGCTGGGCACACTGGGAGAAAGGGGACAAGGACAAAGGCAGATGATCAGCCCGCTCTCTTGACTTGCCTGCCAGTCCAGGGCTCCCCAGAGCCACAAGTTCACATCTTGTGGTTTGACATTCAAGCCACGCCAGTTTGTTTCCAGCTTAATCTTCCCTTACTCCACTTCCCACTCTTCCCACCCAGCCAGGCTAGTCTCCTCCCCGTACCCTGAACACACCTTAAATTTTCCTTCCTCTGGGCTTTTGTCTGCACTGTTCCTCCCACCTAGGACATCCTTCCCATCCCAACTAAACCCAAGGCCCAGATCAAGTTTCTTTTCTTCCAGGAGACCTTCCCTGCCTACGGTAGCTATAAAGACCTCTAATTGGGAAGCCCTCCATCCTTCTTAACACCTCTATCCATCAATTAAGGCCTTGCTCAAATATCAGCTCCCTTGGGCTTCCTGACCCCACTCCACCACAACCCAAAGGCTGCCCCTGATGCCCTAGAGCTTGAAGGTCCATCCCTTACTCGTACAAATCACATCGTCTTCATTTGAAGGGCCACCTGCTCCTGAGAGCCCTTCTCCAGGCAGAACCACATCTGGTCCATCTTGGCATTCCCAACAATTGACATGTGGCCCAGAGCAAGGTCAGTATGATCAAGAACCATCTAAGTGAGTGAATAAATGGAAGAATGAATGAGTGAATGAATGAGTGAGAAAATGAATGGATGAATGAACAAGTCAAAACTGAGCTGAGCAGATGAATAAGTAAATGAATGAGTAAATGAATATATGAATACAAGAGTGAATGAATTAATGAGTGAAAGAGTGAACGAATGAAGGAGAGTATGAGGGAACGAATAAGTAAATGGATAAATGAGTGAAAATGTGAATGAATAATATGAGTGAATGAGACTAAGTGGATGAGTTATATGATTGAGTGAATGATTAAATGAATGAAGGCATGAATACACGCAGGAAGGCTGATGTGTCTAGGCAGTCTGGTTCCTGGGGTCCCGTATCCCTCCTACACACCCCTCCACCCTGGCAGCTTCTCCCTGGCCCATCCCATATGTAAGGCAGCCCGACCCCAGGCTGGCACTTACTCGATGCTGAGTTGTCCCCGGAGCAGGCCACTTCCCTCCGCCATCAGCGAACAGTCCTCCACTCTCTCCAAGAGGGGGTTGACCACCATCACTTCCACCACAACTGCCACCCCCACCATGGCTGGGCCCTGCAACTGGAGGGGCAACACTCATGAGCCATCCTCCCTCCTTCCCACCTCACCCCCCAGGGAACCCATGGTCCTTGCCTGCTCAGAAAAGGGGACATTTATTCCTTGCCTTCACATACCCCCATGTCCATCAACATATCCATCCCCCTGCCTTCACACATCTCCTCCCCATCCTTCAGAGCTGAAGCTGGAGTTAAAAGCACACAACCTCCAGCCTTCTGATGCTCTCCCCAGTTCTGAAGAGAGCCTACTAGGAACAGAGTGGTGGGATGAGGACAGGAGTTACCTTGATGGTGATGAAGTCCTCCAGAGTAATGTCCTTCTCCACCAGGAGCTTCTCTCCTTTGGTGACGAGACACATGGCAGCCAACAGGATCTTCCTGTCCTCTGTCAGGTCTTTCTTATACTGAGAGTAAGATATTGTGACTGGGATCTTTTTCTCTGAAAGGGAAAGCAGTGGTGGGAGTTAGGGGTCCGGTGTTCTTCAATGGTACCCAGAAGAAGGAAGGAAACACCCAGCTAATGGCTACATCATCTGGTCCTTGCAACCATCCTGACACAAGCAATATTATCCTCAGTTCACAGATGAAGAAACCTGAAGCTCAGAGAAGGGGATTTCTTGTCCAAAGTTCAACAGCAAGCAAATCAAGGAGCCAAGATGAGGGGGATTCAAACTCAGAAAAGTCAGGTACCACGACACCGGATTATTTCTCTAAGAGCTCCTAGAGAAATGTCTAAAATTTCCCTAGTAATTCAAGGTGGAAATCTCTCAGTCCATCAATCATTTATCCCTTTAAGAGTTCAGGCACTAAGTGTTTATTGAGCACAAACTATGTGCCAGGCACAGAGAAGAGGGAGGCCAAAGGCCTGCCTCAAGCTTCCAATCCAGTGAGCAGGTCAACTTCCTCTCCGCTTCTCTAAACTTTCCCCTCCATGAAGGCCCAGTCCTTGTCAGCCCCACCAACCATGGAGGACCTTCCCTAATCCCCCAACCCAGTGATCTCATGCCTTCTGTCCTCTGAGCTCCTGTGGTCCTGGTCATCTCTCTCTCCCTCTCATCAGCCACAAACACCTTGCCTATGTTTTCTCCTCTTGTGAGCATGGGTCGCTACCACAAAGCCATATGTGATCCTCAGTCCTATACATATATATACATATATATATAACCCATTGCTGTCGAGTCCATGCCGACTCACAGCAATCCTATAGGACAGAGTAGAACTGCCTCATAGCGTTTCCAAGGAGTAGCTGGTGAATTTGAACTCCCGACCTTTTGGTTAGCAACCTGAGCTCTTTTAAACACTGTGCCACCAGGGCTCTTTCTCTCTCTATTTGTTTTTTTACCACTGTATTTTCTTAAGTACCTTCAGGTGCAATGTGTCCCTTCTGTTTTTCCCCAGGCCCTACTGTTCCCTACTGTCCTACCACCACTGCTTCCTTTATTTCTGCTTCCTTCCTGCCTCTCAAGCCATCTGAGTTTGCAACTTGTGAACAGGGTCCTTAAAGGGCAAGGACTTGGCTCACACTCTCTGTTCCAGGGCTTTGTACATAATAAGTGCTTCCTGAATGCCAGTAGGATGATCCATGTAATAAAGTTCTGCTTTGTTTTATGGGCTTCCTTAGTCCAACAGGTCATTGCTGGGAGAATCCTTACAACAACAGCAATAATTAATAATTATAAAGCTAACTTTTACTGAGGGCTTAAAGGGTGCTGGGCATTGGAAGCACTTTGCGTAGGTTAACTCATTTAATCCTCACAACAACTCCATAAGTATTATTATGCCCAATTTTTCATAATATTAATAATACAATCGTCACCTTCAAATGTTCACTAGTAGTAGGAAATATGAAAAAACCTTTATATATCTTATGTCATTTACTCCTTGCAACAATCCATGGTGGCAGAGCAGTGGTTTTCGAAGTGTGGGCCTGGGGCCAGCAGCATCAGCATCACCAGGAACTTTTTAGACATGCAAATTCTCAGGCTCTACCCCAGACCTGCTGAATCAGAAACTCATGGGGTGGGTCCCAGCAATCTGTGTTCTGACAAGCCCTCCAGATGATGCTGATGCATGCAAGGTTTGAGAACCACTGAGGTAGAAAGTATCATCTCTATTTATAGACGAAAAAGCTGAGCCTTAGAGATTAAAGGGAGCAGCCCTAGATCACCCAGTCGTCCTAATACCTCTGTGCTGTTACAGTTGAAGAGAATTTCATGGAGTTCCAATGACCTTGATGACAAATTCCAATTTATGAAACACCAATAATATTTCCAGTCTCACTTCATCCATATCTTTCTGCTGAGTCTGAGGGAAAGGCAGGTGCAGGGCAAAGAGGGCCCTTGGCAGGCAGGGCAAACGAGACCCTGTTTCTGACATGCTGGATTAAGCAGCAGCATTTCCCAAACTGCATCACAACCACCCCATTCTGGTTTATTAACATACAGTTTCCTGGACCTCTTGCCTGGAGATTCCAATTCGTGGCGCTAGCTGGGGTCTCCATCATGCTGACATCCTTAAAGAGGTTTCTGGAATCACTGACTAAACTATGCAATATATTTTTAAAATCACACCACAGAAGTTGGAATTCATCAAAATTCAGAACTTCTACACTTCAAAAGACACTGCTAATAGAATAAAAAGACAAGCTACAGACTGGGAGAAATATCTGCAAATCACATATCTTATAAAGGACTGGCATTCAGCATATATAAATAATAATAATAATAATGAGAGAATAAGAAAACAACCAATCCAGTTAAAAACTAAGCAAACTATTTGAACAGACAACTCACCAAAGAAGACATATGGATGGCAAATAAGCACACGAAAAGATGTAGAACATCATTAATCATTAAAGAAATGCAAATTAAAACCACACTAAGATACCACTATAAACCTGGGTGGAAACCCTGGTGGCTTAGTGGTTAAGAGCTACGGTTGCTAACCAAAAGGTCAGTGGTTCGAATCCACCAAGCGTTCCTTGGAAACCCTATGGGGCAGTTCTACTTTGTCCTATAGGGTCGCTATGAGTCAGAATTGACTCGACCGCAGTGGGTTTGGTTTTTCCGGTTTATATACCCGGGTAGTGCAAACAGTTAAGTGCTCGACTACTAGCTGAAAGTTTGTCGGTTCAAACCCACCCAGTGGCCCCTCAGCAGATAGGACTGGCGATCTTCTTCTGAAAGGTCACAGCCTTGACAAGCTTATGGAGCGGTTCTACTCTATGCACAGGGGGTCGTTGTGAGTCAGAATCGACTTGATGGCAACTAACAATAACAACAACAAAACATACCTACTGAAGGGCCTGGGTGGTGTAAATGGTTAAGCGCTTGATCACTAGTGGAAAGGTTGCCAATTTGAACCCACCCAGGAGTGCCTTGGAAGACAGGCCTGATGATCAGCTTCCAAAAGGTCACAGCCCTGAAAACCCTATGGAGCAGTTCTACTCTGCACACATGGGGCTGCCATGAGTTGGAATGAACTTGAAGGCAACTAATATATACCTATTACCAAAAAAAATCAAACCAGTTTCTGTCAAGTCGACTCTGACTCACTGCGACCTCATCTGTGTCAGAACTGTGTTCCGTGGGGTTTTCAATGGCTGATTTTTCGGAAGCAGATCAGCTTTCTTCCAAGGTACATCTGGGTGGACTTGAACTGCCAACCTTTCGGCCAGTAATCGAGCACTTAACTGTTTGCTCCACCCGATGATTCCTATACCCCTATTAGAATAGAAAAACAAAACACAAAAACAAACAGAACAAAACTGACAATACCAAGTGCTGACGAGGATGTGGAGCAGCAGGAACTCTCATTCATTGCTGATGAGAGTGTAAATGGTAGAGTCACTTTGATAAACAGTTGGGCAGTTTCCTACAAAGTTAAACATACACCTGCCGTGTTGTTGCTGGAGTGCCGTCAAGTTGATTCCAACTCGTAGTGATCCTATATGTCAGAGTAGAACTGCCCCATAGGGTTTCCTGGACTATAATCTTTATAGGAGCAGACTGCCAGGTCTTATCTCCTGTGGAGCTGCTGGTGAGTTTGAACCATTGACCTTTGGGTTAGCAGCCAAGCACTTTAATCACTGCACCACCGGGGCTCCTTACATCTGCCATATAACTCAGTTATTCCACTCCTCGATATTTACCCAACTGAAATAAAAAATTGTGTTCATATAAAAATCTGTATATAAATGTTTATAGGGGCTTTATTCATAATAGCCCCAAACTGGAAACAACTCAAATGACCTTCAATAGGTAAATGGATAAACTGTGGTACGTTCATTCAGTGGAATACTACTTAGCACTAAAAGAAACGAACTATAAACACAACAAGGATGAATCTCAAGTGCATTATTCTAAGTGAAAGAAGTCAGACTAAAAAGGCTACATACTGTACTATTCCATTTCTATATGACATTCTGGAAAAGGCAAAACTGTAACGATGGAGAACAGGTTGCCAGGGGCTGAGGGCAGGGGAAGGGGCTGATACAAAGAGTAGTGATAGAGCTATTTTATATCTTGATTGTCGTGGTGGTTACATGACTGTATGCATTTGTCCGACCAGCAGGAGTCCTTTACACTAAGTGAATTTTAATGTATGTAAATTATACTTTAGGAAAAAAAGGGAAAAATCATACCACAGAGAAGCTAACAGAATGACATCAAATCTCAGAAAATGGTAGAAGATTTTCATAGCTTAGAAATGGTAGTACGAATCATAAAGAAAATGTAGGACAGATTTAATCACATAAAAAATAAACATTTTTTTCTTGTCAAAGATGAAGCCAAAATTAACATGGCAATCAACACTTTTTGGAAAGAAATTTCTCATTAAAAATCCAAAGTTTAAAAGATGTTTATGTCACCATAAAAGTTTTTAAGGAAAAAAATGGGACAGTTGTTTTAAAAGCACAGAGTGAGGAGGACCTCTAAAATATGCCACCAAACCCTAAAACCCATACAAATTAAAAAAAAAAGAAAAATCCTGCACATAAAAAAAATACTATTAACAAAATCAAAAGACAAATGAAAATTGAGGGCAAGGGAATATGCAGGAGCCTTGGTGGTGCAGTGGTTAAGGGCTTGGCTGCTAACCAAAAGGTCGGCAGTTCAAATCCACCAGCTGCT